GTGCACGTGGCCGCGCGTGGGGGCGCGTAGGGCCGTGCCTTGGCCGGCGCGTGGGGGCGCGTGCGTGGTCCAAAAATTTTTCTAAAAATATGGGTGTGATCCTGAGGTTGTGTAGGTCACGTTGGTATATTCAATTGTCCAATTTGAGCAATGTATGAGAAGTTATTACGAGAAGTTGCTTAGGTGCTTTTAAATTAACGTTTTCGTAACTTTGTCGCGTTTAGGTGATTCATATTCCGAGGACAAGCGTACACACTCGAGGCAGGGGGGCTACGACCCTTCTAATTACCAGTGAGTGGGCTTTTGTTTTCCGTATATACCTATATACATATTAATTCCCAGAAATTAAATAGAAAAGGTTATTTGTTTTATGCCATGCATCATATGAATGTTGTTTACGCATCATCGCATGTATTAGTAGTGGCATACATATATATATAAATGTGTATTTGGTGCTGTGGACGCACAGGTAAGTGCCAGGTAAGCGGTATTCATGTGGTTATGCATTCCTGTTTATTATGCAGTAGTAGTTTGAAATGCTTAGAGAGCTCATAATCTGCACCCCCGGTGTTAGTGCTCCCGCCCAGAGAGGGGCAGAGTCCTTCACGTGATGTTCACCCGCACCACACGCTCACCTTGGATCCAAGTTAGGTGCAAGCCTTGTCGTGCAGACCACATTAGGTGGTTCCGACTCGTAGGTGACCCGCGATTATTCGCATAGTCTTCTCGTGATCGTAGCACTAGAGCGTATATATTACACCCAGTCCTGTCGTACAGACCACGTTAGGTGGCTCCGACTTGTGTGCAGATTCAGATGTTGAGTTGAGATTGGAGCTCTATATGCAGCGGTACATGTCACGTTAGGTGACTCCCGGCTGCCAGATTATATGTTATTGATGTGGTTATGCTTGAGCATTTATATTTGATTATGAGATTCTGTTGTGGCATATTCTCAAGCATGAATGGCATATTGTGAGCATGAATAGCATATTGTGAGCATGAATGGCATATTGTGAGCATGAATGGCATATTGTGGAGCATGATTGGCATACCTATACATACGTATATATGTTCATTTTCTGGGAAGTATACAGGTTTTACGGCGAGGGGTTAGAAAGTGTTTTGCTAAAGAGTTTTCAAAGAACTTTGTTTTTGCCCACTCACGCTTTTGTTTTTGCGCCCCTCCAGGTTCTAGTGGTCTAGCAAGTTCGGTGGTTTATCCCAGAGGGCGTCCCGGCATTTCTGACAGACACTCACCATTGTAGGGTCACCTTCGGGTGTAAATATGTCGTATCTTTTCCTTTTGGACTGTTGTAGACTTGCTCTGAATTGTGTCTCACATACACTAGTACTTTGTATGCTATTAGGTTTTTAATTATTCGTACTTTTATATTACCTTCTTAATAGCTTCCGCACGCGCACATGGCTACGTCACATTCGTGTGACGGCCAGCACTCCCTGATCTCGGTCGGGGTGTGTCAATATATCTCTAATAAGTAGCTTTAAATTTATTATTGTAGTTCAGATTGGGTTTTTGTTAGAAAAAATATATTATTGTAGTTCGGATTGGATTTTTGTTAGAAAAATGTATTTTAAATTGATGATCGAATTAGTTCATTATATTCATATAGGGTCAAGGAGTGTAGCTATAAAAAAATCATCAAAATTGGAGTTGAAATAATCGTTAAATCGTGATTTTTCGTTTATAATCGTCGAAAAGTTTTGTTCCATTCCTTGATCTCTGAATGTTTGTTTTTTGCGATTTTTGGCGTATATGATCTCGAAGTATATACAAACAAGTTTGATTGTTGGACCGTTGAAACTAGTTTCGTAGAATGCATATCCCATCAAAACAATAGATTCACTAACACTTAGAGTTTATGTATACTTTCAATAAGTATGACATAAGATTTTGTGGTATCCATTAGTGTAAATATTTTAAATTGAAGATCGAATTCATTCATTGTATTCATATAGGGTCAAGGAGTGTAGCTGTAAAAAATCATCTAAATCGAAGTTAAAATAACCGTTAAATCGTGATTTTTCGTTTATAACCGTCGTAAAGTTTTGTCCCGTTACTTGATCTATGAATGTTTGTTTTTTGTGATTTTTGGCGTATGTAATCTCGAAGTATATACAAACAAGTTTGATGGTTGGATTGTTGAAAATAGTTTTGTAGAATGCGTATCCCATCAAAACAATAGATTCACTAACACTTAGAGTTTATTTATACTTTCATTAAGTATAACATAAGATTTTGTGGTATCCATTAGTGTAAATATTTTAAATTGAAGATCGAATTCATTCATTGTATTCATATAGGGTCAAGGAGTGTAACTGTAAAAAAATCATCAAAATTGGAGTTAAAATAACCGTTAAATCGTGATTTTTCGTTTATTCATATAAGTGTAGTTGTATACATGCGTCGTGCAAACCAATTTCTTTTTGTTTTTTATTTTATTTTATATTATAAATTTTAAAATATAGTTGTTTTCATAAGTTTTTATTATTTTTTAAAAAATTTACGCGACAAATATTAATATTTTGTTGCCTAACCGTTATTTACTTATTTTTTATTTATTTTTATATTTTATATTGTTAAATTAAATTTTTTTTTTATTTTGTTTGCGCGACGAATACACATTTGGTTGCCTAAACCTTATTTATTTTAATTTATTTATAAAAATTATTTTCTTTTTTATTATTTATAAAAATTATTTTTATAAATTTTGCGCGACAAACCAAAATTTTATTGCGTATAATTCTTAAATTTGGACGGGAGCCAAATGTGGGACGCGGGAAATTTTTTTTAAGACTTTGTGTGACCAATATTCGTCGCACAAAACTTTGTGCAACCAACACTTCCTCGCTCAAAACTCTAAAAATTTGGGCGGGCACCAAAAATGGGACGCGGGAATTTTTTTTTTTTTTAAGACTTTGTGCAACCAATTTTTCGTCGCACAAAACTCTAAAATTTTGGGATGGCACAAAAAATGGGACACGGGAAATTTTAAGACTTTGCGCAACCAACACTTCATCGTGCAAAACTCTAAAAATTTGGGTGGGCACCAAAAATGGGACGCAGGAAAATTTTTTAAGACTTTGCGTGACCAATATTTCATCGCGCAAAGTGATATGGCTTTTAAAACCAAAATAACTCCTTCACCATTTTCTCAATGTCTTTCTCTACTCTTACCTCTCCTCTCTCTTTCCCTCTCCCCAAATCTGACCCTCTCTCTCACACTCACTCCTCTCAATTAATCTCTCTTCTCTCTCTTCACTATCTCTCACTCTCACTCCCTCTCTCATCTCTCTCCCACTATCTCATTTTATTCTCTCACACTCACTCCTCCCTCTCATTCTCACCCACTCTCAATCTTGCCAAAAGGTATATTCTCCCCAAATTTTTATTTTTTTTCATTAATATGTGTTTTTGGAGTTAGTTTTGAGTTTGGTGCAGGGTTTGGGGGCAAGTATAGGATGAGGAGTGGAGTTTGGGGTCGGATTTGGGGTATACCAATTTTAGGGGAGATAATGCCAATTTTTTGTTATTTTTTTGTTATTTGACCATTTTTTTTTTGTAGGGAATCATCGAGACTTTAACGGCTAAAGTTAAGGATTAGGACGCTATCAAAACATATCCCCCACCACTACCACCACAATAGACTTGTATTAGGATTTTATAATTGTACTTTGTTAATTTATATGTACATTTTGAATATATTATATATATTGGACAATTTGTTCACTATTTTTCATATGTAAATTTATTTTGAATATGTCAATTTAAATTAAAGTAATTAAAAAAATAAAATCATACAATTAAATTAAATTAAAAAGTAAAAATTCCAAAAATCTTGCACTACCAAATATTTCGTTGCGTAAAAAATTAATATAATTAAATTAATATAAGAAAAATAATAAAACAAGAAGTCAAAAACCTTGCACAACAAAATATTTCGTCGAGCAAAATATTTAATTAATTTATTTTAATTAAAAAAATTTAAAAACAAAATTTTAAAATATTTCGTCGCGCAAAGCTTTGCATGACCTATCGTCACGCAAAATTTGAGCGACAAATTAATTTTCGTTGCGCAAATCCTATCATCACAAGCTTTGCTAGACGAACCATGCGCAACCAAGATTTCGTCGCCCAAGGTTTTGCATGACGAAATTGTACTTTGCACAACAAACTTATTTCGTCGCGCAAAGTGTTTTTTGTAGTAGTAATCATATACCAACTTATGCAAAACACAAAAACCCACAAAATATTTTCTAGCCAAAGGAATAAACTAGAAGCCTCCCCGCTCAAATCAAAGCTGCAATATTTGGAAGTTCCATCAACGCAAAACCTCCCCAAAAGAACCCGATGAATTGAATCAGACCCAAACTGGAAAACTGTTAAAATCGTGGGTGTGGTGTGTTGGCGCCTAATGGCAATTTGGTAATAAATGTGTGGATAGAAATTCAGGTGAACTTAGATGGGCGGTAGTGTTTAAATAAAAATAAAAATTTACAAATCATATTCCACGTTGAATTCATTTAAAGGTACTTGGAAAGATATTTGAATTTGTGTGCGACAATAATCATTCTGCTCTAACCAATTTAGCTAAATTCAAATTAACAAACTCAAAATTTTCTTAAAAATTGAAGTTGTGCAATCAAAATTTTACCATTTTTTTTTTTTTTGACTTTTATCGTCTTGCAGGTGATACATACGATTTTTCATTTCACTATAGTATAATTCAAAATCAGAATCTCGTTTGTAATTAAAATAAAAATAACTTTTATGGTCTTATTCTCTAAATTAAGCATGTTGTTTTCATATTTAAGAAAGGTCAAGGATTTCATACTCAACCCATAGCCTCCAAAAGGCAAGCCACTAACTTCAGGATCCAACCTAATTCTGCCTTCCCTAAAAACCTATATTCCATACGTGTCCCTTCCTCGTTGGTCCTCCAAATGGAAACAGCATAAATGCCACGTCGTATCGGACCAAATGCATGCCCAATCCCCCGTCAAAACGCTCACACTCTTTACCCCCAACACCACGCACAAAAAACACACAAGATAAATTCTGTGTCTTTTTTGACTCTGCCAGTTTCTCTTCTTTCTCTAGAAAGGGATCGATCGGGCGCGCTGCTGTGCCACCAGATTTACGATGGGGAGGAGGAGGAACTCGCCGGTGAACGAGCTGTTTCAATGGGTGAGGAGGCAGTCAATCAAAGTCAAGGTTTGTCTGGGTAGCCTGCTGGCATTGTGTGCTTTGGTGGCACTGAGGTTTTGGGTGAAGAATCACAACTACTTTTTCATTGCCTCTGAAGTCGTGCATGTCGCCGGGATCGTCGTCCTCATTTACAAGCTCACTACTCAGAAGACTTGCTCGGGTATCCAAGCCCTTTCTATTGCTCAATTCTTCATAATTTGATTTTTTATTTGGGATATTATTTGAGTTCTTGGGTTTTTATTGATTTGATTTGTCATGATTTCTGCTGGTTTGGAATCGGTTTGTTTTTGTATCCAATTTTTAATATCACTAGAGTCACATGCCTCAAGCCCTATATTGGGAGAGTAACTTTAGCCGTTTACCCCACCTAAAATTTTATAAATAGCCAATTTTTCTCCTAGCGTTAGATTTTAATATTTTTCATCCAATTTTTCATTCTTTTTTTTCTTGTGCGATTGTCATGTGTTGTTCGCGTGATCAAGGTGGATGGTTAATTGGATGAAATTTTTCAAAATATAGCGTCAGGGGAAAATTGGTTATTTATAAAAGTTCAAATAAATAATCAACTAAAATTAAGGTTCAATGAGGAAATTGGATAACTATAAAAGTTCATGGGGTAATCGGCTAAAATTAAAGTTTATTGGGGAAATTGACAACTCTATGCAAGTTCAGAGAGCAAATCGACAAAAATGTCAATAAATTATCTCTGTAAATTATAAAATTATTAGGATGATGTTATTGGCACTCCAAAAATATCATCATGCACTCTTTTCTATGCAAATATTCCCTATGTTTAATAAATTTGGAGTACAAGATGACTTTTTTGTATCAAGCTCATTCATTATTGTGGTAAATAAATCGAAAGTAAGTACGGCTCATGATTCTGCAGTACAATTATTCAATTGATTAATCTGACCTCTAATTTGATCCAGTAGTTCGAGTTTAATCTTACCTCTCATTTGATCAGGTGGTTAAATTCGAGTTTAATCTGACCTCTCATTTATCAGGTAGTTAAATGAGTTAACATTCTAAGTAATCGTTTCAGAGTAATACATTTGCTAATTATCAGCTTTAGTGCATATATATTTTCAATGTGCCAAGTTTTTTGGCTAATCAGTTGGTTTCTATTACATCCTCAGGTCTTTCCCTGAAGACTCAGGAACTCACAGCTCTCTTCCTAGCAGTAAGATTATTTTGCAGTACCATGATGGAGGGCGACATTCACACCGTGCTCGATTTTTCTACTCTCGTTTCAACAGTGTGGGTCATATACATGATACAGTTTAAATTGAAGTCAACCTACATCAAGGAACTGGACAATTTTCGCTTATATTATGTGGTAAATCTTTAATTTGTTGCTGGTTTTTATTGTTGTTAGTATCAAATTTATATTAATCTCCCTTTGTCGTAAGTGTTTGTGTATATATATCGGCCAGTATAGTTTGAAGAGAAAATGCATATATGTATACATGTGCGTACCCTACATTTCATATGTTGATTCATCAATATCATATGCTTTGTTTATGTAGGAATTATTTGATGACAATATTAAACCACTGGTGCTATTGACAAATATACCATCCTCTTTAGCGCTTCTTAGAGATTAAAATTTTCGAGTGAGACTAAATTGGGGACGTAAAATTGCTTATTATTTGTACTTTCTTTTCCCTACCATGCATCTCCATAGCATGATTTGCCATTGCCTCATGTAATAAAACCAAATGGCGTCTCCTTACAAACCGCACATAGGAAAAGAAAATTAGACTTCCGATTTGAGAAGATTTGAAGCTGCTTCCATGTGCATGAGTTGCATTAACTCTGGCAACCTCAATCCACTGTTCATAGTTCATACCCCTTACTGACAATGTGCAATGATCTTGAATGTACGTATTTGCTCTGCTTTAACTTTGAAGCAAAGAAGTTGGAATTTACATTGCAACTTTATAAAAGGTGCGAGATTATTATACTTGTTTTTAACCACAAAAACCGCAACTTAATTTCATTTGAATTGCAGGTGGTGCCTGCTGCTGTCCTTGGCGTGCTTGTCCACCCGTATACACTATATAACCGCATCAGTCGAATCCTTTGGGCATTTAGTGCATACATGGAAGCCGTTTCAGTACTGCCTCAACTCCGTTTGATGCAGAATGCGAAGGTTGCGATTACATCAGATTAAAGCTCTTGAACCACTCATTTACCAGATCAATTGATCTTTGTTTTCTTCTGATGATGATTTTCTTTCAGATGATCGAACCATTTACCTCACATTACGTATTTGCATTGGGCATTTCAAGGTTCTTCGCGTGTGCTCATTGGATTATTCAGGTTAGGCATGACTTCTTGCAGATCTACGAGACTAGAGGGAGATATATATTTGTACATACATAACGACGTGTATCGGAATAATGCAATACTTTGCCATTCTCTTGCAGATCTACGAGACCAGAGGAGGATATATATTTTTAGTCGGGAGCGGGTATTTCTGGATTTTGGCAGTTTTCCTCTGTGAGATGGTCCAAACATTCATCTTAGCTGACTTTTGCTACTACTACATAAAGAGGTTAGTCACGAAGAAGAAAAATCTCGTATTCAACCCCTTCTCTTACATTCAGCCCCTCGCTTAATGTGATCGTTTTTGTAAGGGGGAGCTTGTATACAATACGTTACACTCTAATTACCAACCCCGACTCCCATGTTCGCATAACCCTTTGAACACTTATTGTGTGTTTCGCAGTAAAATGGAAGGGCAGCTGGTAATGAGGATGCCTCCGGTCTAGGATTACACCCGCCATCGGTTTTCGGATGACTATACAAAGTTACAATCATCACGTGACATGAGGAAGCAAACGAGGAAACCAAGCTATGTAATGGCCTCTTTTCTTTTTTTCTTTTTTTTCTTTATTTATGCTTTTGGGTGTAGTAAGACATGGTTAGTACAAAACAAAAGAAAAGGAAAACCGAAAGACCAGAGTTGTTGTGGTTTATCTATTTTTTTTCGCTCATCATATGTACAGATGAATTTTGTTGTGGTCAGTCGCATACAGGCATTGATTATTGATGAGATGTGAATTTCACATCATTAGTAGTCATACATCACACTTGTGTGCTGGCGATGGATGTGGCTACATCAGCTCCACAAGTAGATACCTATGAATTCAACTAAGGCCTTGAAAATAGTTAGAAAATTGTCTTCAACAGAGGGTTAGGCCAAAAGGCTTGTAGGCTCCACCAGACCAAAACCAGCCAATCAGGCCAACGGGCTAGCCATCTTCAGCCAGCCAGCCCACTTTTTTTTCTGTTTTTTTTTTTGCCCAGCCCATTTTTTTTTTTTTGGATTTTTTTTTAATTTCTAATTTTTTTTAACATCATTTCTCACATATTTTTCACCATTCCATATTATTTTACCTCATTTTATTTCAATTCTTTGGATATAATTTTTTGTCACAGAGCTATGTTTGGCCTATGGTCCTCTGGCCCCTCGGTTGGAGATGGTAAAAAATATGATCATGCATTGTTCATTAAAATATTAATTTCTTAGAGGACCAATGGGCTAAAACGAGCCCTCTGACTCTTGTTCGGTTGGAGATGACCTAACTAAGCTTAATTGTAAGTCTCACATGCATTAATGTTTAAAAATTACTCACATGTATGTTTCTGAAATAAGTTACTAACATTTATCTGACTGTTTATGAGATATGCGCCTGTCATGCTCCAGTGGTAAGAAATTGCTCAAATCCAACATGCATAAACAGTCAAACATTACTTAAGCGCATTCACGGGCTCTATTCAAACACCTATCCGACACCTATCTATCTATAAAAAGTCTTAATTTTATGAAAGTCTCCTAAATTGGCCCACGGTGACTTATGACTCCCAAAAAACGACACATGGCAACCAACCATCGTACATTAGAAAGGCCAATCCCTTCCTTACGACACCCAAAAAAACCGAGCCAAATTTCTCTACCCCACCGCTTCCATAAATCAATATCATGGCAACGCAGATCTAAATGCTCATATTGGATCCTTGGGAACCATCTGAAGCGTCCGTTGTACGCGTTTCAAACCTGGTGTATGCGCTACACACCTTGCCCTCTCCTTTTCGAAACAAACTCATCTCCGGAGACGCCGCCACGTGTCCAGTGCCCTACGTGGACAACCGACTCCAACCACTCCTCTTCCACCGCGTGTCGGCATCACCGTACATAAACCACCTCACACTTCAACATCATTTTCCGTAAAAGAGGCAGACCAACTTGACGTTGCTGAGCTGTGACGCGCCACGTTTCGACCTTTGCTATATGGGACAAGGCCCCAGACTGATACCCGACGACGACACGTGTCGATAAAGCACATTGCCACGCAGACTTTGCTTTCCTGGGATACCTGGACTGAAAAGGACGGTTGAGATTCGCGGGTGACAGGCTGACTGATTTTACAGAGCTGTCCGCCTATCCGCTGTTAATTTCACGGGAGCCAGGCGCTTACGCGTGTCAGTAACCAAGCTCTTCATGCACGTGTGACACGTGGCGCGCGCTGCGAACCAACGAGCGTGCGCCGGACTTCTCATTTCACTTGAGAAGAGATTGGTTCCCGCTAAATTAACGTATTAACAGGCAAAACATGATTAGTTTTAGCGCTAAACAAGGATTAGTAGCTAATCCTTTTTGCTAAATATATTCAAAATATCCTACGTGTCCACCCACCGTCCCTGTCTCCTTCTGATTTTCTGCCACGTACAGCTCTCAATCGCTTCGGTCCCCGGCTATTTCCCCGCTTTCCCCTTCTCTCCCTCAGAAATTCTGAACCTAAAAAACCCTAAGGGATTTTCAGAGCAAACAAAAAAATGAACTTGAAGCTTGAAGCTTTTTAAAATTTTAAGTTCTGCAAAAATGGGAGAGGTATCCAAATCGGGATTGAAAGAGGAGGAGATTGAGCTGGATTTGGGGCTGTCGATCGGCGGCAGCTTTCGAAGGCCGGAGAACTCGAAGCTGGCCAACGGGTTCGATGTAGCTCCGAGAGAGAGCGAGTACCAAACGCTGCCATCCCAACCGCACGTGCCTTCTCCGTCGACGATCGAACCGTCGGAGCCGGAGAGCGCTCGTCTGGATCCGCAGACGAAACGGGAGATGCAGGCGTTGAGAAGGCAGGAAGCGAAGAGGAAGCGGGAGGAGAAGCAAATCCGGGGACTGAACGGTTCCCAAGCGGAAGAGCAGCCTGGGGTGAAGAAAGAGAGAACGGAGACGAATGTGAATGTGAATCTGAATTTGAGCAACGGACAAAGGGAGCTGCGCTACCCGGTTCAGTACCCGTACCTGCCGGTCCATTTTGTTCCGTACACGAATCCTTGCGTGATGCCTTGCTGGGGCCCAAGCGGCGGCTGGGGTTTCCGGCCTTTTCAGGCGCATAAGCCGAAGTTGAATAACGGGTGTGAGACGGAGCAGAATGGTGGGTCGGGTAAAACGGCGTCGGTAAATGGTGGGTTGGGTAAGAAACCGGCGCCGACAAATGTTTCACCAGTGTGTAGTTCCTCCACCGTGTCAGATCATCAAAGCGCAGCTTCTCATGAAGGTATGCTAAAATGTTTTCAAACTCAGGAAATGATTTCCGCGCACTATTTTTGTTTATGCGTTTATTGTATTGATCCAAACGCCAGAAATAAAGGGTTTAACTCGGGAAATGATTCTGACTTTTTGGTTTTTGAAATTCTTAGGTGGTGGAAGCAGTGAGAGCAGAAGCCATTCAAGCCAGAGCATACAAGAAAACATAGAGCCGGTTTCAAATTCCTTGGAATCCAATTCCAAAGGGAATGAACAAAAACTGAATCCAAAAACAGAACCCAAATCAGAACACGCGGAACCGGCTCCAATCCCAAAACCCATCTCACCAAAACAAGAATCTTCTCCTCCATTTCCTCCACGGAAGGAAATTGCCAAAAGGGACCCAATTTCCAAGCCTCCAAAACCCCCGATGAGGAAACATGGCAGCAATACCGTTTCCCTTCCCCAAATGCCTTACGTCTCGACGACCGGGACCGGCCCGAATGGGAAAACGGTTCATGGGTTGTTGTACAGATACACGGAATCGGAGATCACCATCGTGTGCGGCTGCCATGGAACCACATTCTCGCCGGCTGAATTCGTGCAGCATGCCGGAGGCACCGATGTTTCCCAGCCGCTGAGGCACATCACTGTGATCCCATCTGCTTTTGGATGATGAGCCGAGTTGAAAGATGATCGAGTTAACTACTGACCCGTTTCATTTCTTCTAATTTGCTACCTAGTTTTCTCTTCTATTTTAATCGTGGCTGATGAGAATTGCTGGTATTAATGGGACTGGCAGGCTTACATTTTTTGCATTCGTTGTGTGTAAAAGCTGCTAATCTAACTGTGATTAACGTACATTTAACCTTTTTAGATCATATATTCCTGTTCATGTAAAATGGTGTGCTCCTTTTTTTTTGCTTTTCCAAGATTTTGCTTAACATATGACTGGTTTGGCATTGTTGTGTTTTGAAAAAAAAAAACTACTTTTATTATAATGCGAGAATAAACTCATTTTTACTGCTTTATGTTTTCAGCTTTTTTTCACCTAAAATTGTGAAAATAAGCTATTTTTCAGTGTTTACCAAATATTTTTTTTAGCTCAACTTTTTTTTATACCCATTTTCTATAACAGTACTTCAGTACCAAACCAGTACTTAATGTTACCTAAATTCTTAACATTTTACTTACTGCGCTTTAACTAAATCTTTGAAAACAACTATGAATATTTTTTTGTTATTAGCGTGTATTCTTTCTTAAACATTTCTTCTGCATCTCTTATACTATTATACTTCCTTTTTCTTCCCTTTTTAACTACTTTCCTCGTACGTCAAGCACAAACAATACTAAATATCTTCCTATTTTTTGGGCATTGCCCGCCGCTTAACGAAAGAAATCACAATCTTAGAGTTATAGTTATAATTAACAGTTAGATTCAGTAGTTCAGAGGTTGTTTTAATTTTATCTTGAATGCTGAAAATGTCAGAAAGTTGAACATTTTCCATCCCATCATCAAGTGTCCCAATGGAGCATTTGAAGTTGTAAAGTGTAGATGGTGCTTGTAAAAATTGTGAGAGTCCGAGTCTGATTCCTTTGTATATGTTTATGAACTATATATTGTTGGGAAGGGAATAAGCAGGAAGATACTTGAGTATGGAGATGTCGTTGAAGAATGTCACGGCAGCGGAGTTCAGTCACATTATATAGAAAAATTGTTTCTTAAGTTTAAGCATCTACAAATAAAAGAAGCAAATACCTCTTATGACCCTAGTGAAACTTTGCTTAATAATTCTAGTAGGTCCGTTGCACAACTTGAGTATGCTAGTGTAATCGAAAGTTTAATATATGTCATGCATTGTACCAGGCCAGATATCACATTTGCAGTAAACAAACTTTCTAGATACACTATTCATCCAAGTACTACTCATTGGAAAGCAATATATAGAATTTTTGGTTATCTTAAAAGAACTATTAACCTGAGTTTAACTTCCTTTGAGTTTCCAGCAGTACTTGAAGGTTATTCAGATGCAAAGTTGGATAACAAGTGCTAATGATAATAAGTATACATCGGGTGGATTTTTACAATTGTTGGAAGAGCAATTTCTTGGGCTTCGAAGAAGTAAACATGTATAGGATATTCAACTATGAAATTAGCGGCAGTAGGTAAAGAAGCAAAATGGATTAGAAATTTGTTATTGGAAATAGACTTGTGGCCACAACCGATGCCATCCATTTCTTTATACTGTGGTAGTGAGGTTACTTTGTCTAGAGCATACAATAAGGTATACAATGGAAAGTCTAGACATATTAGCTTGAGACATGACTATGTCAAGCAGTTAATAGCTGATGGAGTTATTAATAGTATTTATGTTAAATCAAGTAATAACTTGGCGGATCCGTTAACGACAACACTTTCAAGAGCTTTGGTAGTTAGTACATCTAGTGGAATGGGGCTAAAACCCTTTACTGAAAATTAGCCACCAATAATGGT